GAGTGTCACATTTGATCGGGGGCCAGAGCGGTGCTGGTTACCTTGTCAGCAGTCAGTGCAGAGGGGGAGAGAGGAGCCAGCGCTGGACTCCATACAAGGAGAGAGGGATGGAGGGGAGGAGGGCGGGAGAGAGTGGGCCGGTAACCCGAGGAGGTGGAGAAAAGCTCGGGAAGACAGATAAAGAGTAGAGAGAAGAGCAGAGGAACCGGTCAAGGTGGCAGGCACTCAACACACTGGAAGAAGCTGTCAGAGACTGGACGACACAGGTTCATGGCATTCTTCATTCATTCATTTGTTATATAACCTCTTATAACTTATTCTTGTGTTTTTCAAAAAATGCATATTTCAGATTTTATTTTTCCTTTCACTGCTTTTATCACTAGTTAGGATGCTTGTTTTTGTGGTGGCTGCAAGTCTGATTGTGTTGTTTTACTTATACTTACTTATTTGTTTATGAATAGTTCTATATGATAAACTATATTATACTCATGTCTGTTTCGTTAATTTGGCTGAAAATATTTACATTGTATTTACGTATTTTAAGCATTCCTCTCACTAAATATGAACAAAAAATAGTGAATAAATTAAATTATTGCCGAAAAACGCAATTGTTAACATCACAGTCCTAACTGCTGTCATGACAACTCCAAAAAATCTCCATATTTCACTAGTACAGCGGTAGTTTCTGCAGATTTACCTAATGACAGCACTAAACTAAAATGCTGTATTTGCCTATTTGCGGGTGATGCAAAGTGCGCCCCGTGTGCAGCAAGGCTTTAGTTTTAAAGCATAGACCAATAAACTCACTAATGTTCCTTATATTGGTGCTAGTCCTGCCATCTGCTTGTAAAAGAAGAACCGTGTCGTGCTGCGTGTGCGTGAATACCTGTACGCATTAACTCTGTATGAGTCTGCTCTAATTGCTCTGTAAAGATAACCCGCTAGAACAACATTTTGCTTCTTGCCACATCTCTAAGTTTGATTGAGGGATTTTTGTGGTCTGTAAGGTTTTTAAAGCCTTGTCTTCAGCCTGTTATTAGCCCCTGTCTTCTGAGATAGAAGTAGGTTAGGAGTTGACAGATAAAGTCCAATGCAACCTCTGGCTGCATTTTAGTGCATATGTGTGAAATTTAAAGAAGACGTATTATGCTAAACGTTTTTAACCATGTTCCTTCACTGCAAACAGACTTGGGGTTGTTTTTAGTTCCATCCAGGAACTAAAATGATCAGGAACTTCTGGCACAAACATGTAATTCCGCCCCTTCTGTATTAAAGCTCCTCTCTCAGTCCTTTAATAGTATGATGTCATTGTACCACTATGATGATTTCAGCATTTTATCTCAAAAGTATTGCCCATATTTTAGTTTTGGTCATTTCTAAGGTGATATAACAGTCTTTGGTTTCGGTTTGAGGCTTGTGTTGCAATCTTTTATCGTATCAGGTTACATTGCTGTGTTGCATGCCAATTTTGATATGAAAGGAAAATTCAACACCTCCCTCTGGTGGTAGCATAGGGGGTTGCAGGTAAAAAGATTTTTTTTTTTAACTTGTTTTGCCATTTATTTTCTGCAGAAGATATTGTTTCACATTCAAAAACATGACATTTTTCAAAGTAAATAGTCAGATCTTCAAGTTTAATGGCATGAATAATGCAACACATTTCTTCTTTAAACCGATACACATCAAGACAATAACACACTTTCATGCGTGTAGTCGTTAACCTACTTTTCCAAAAGCTGATTTTTAGTATAGATAAACATTGTGGCGGAAAGCTGGTAAAACGATATCTTTGCAGGAGCTTGTGATAAACTTGACCTCCATTCCTGCACTCAAACCAAGTTCAGCAGCTCTAGAAATGGCAAACTTGTGAAAACGCTATGTTCCAGTGGTTGAACTCGTGACCCCAGCCTCCACTGTCCCTCCTAAAAAAACCGTGTCACAGGGAGCTCCTTTTGATGGACGATGTGACGTGTAGCTCGAGTGGACAGCTGTCAACGAGGATGAACACCGGGATCAAAGCCCAGGGCCATGTCTCTTCATAACAAAGGCATTTTTATGGACGTCTGTTAAAGGCACTCGACACAATGGTTAGTAAGACTTGTGAATGTGACCGGAGAATTGATAAAACACTCAGTCAGATGTGGTCAGAAAAGTGTCAGAGCTGGAATTTCGCAGATATATGGGCAGTGGTAAGCCAATCTGTCTTCTGCAAATAGACCGCACCGAGGACAATGCGGTACAAGACATGAATGTTATGTGTGTTGGATAAATGTGTTGCTCCAGATCTCCAAATTTAACTGTCTGACTGCAGCTGCTTTTAGCTGCACTTGCAGCTACAATCTTGGATAAGGGAAGGTGTATTTGTTGCACTCTTAAATGACCAAGACAATACAAAATAGTCCGTTTGCAACGTTTATTGTCCACGGTTCAGAGTCACATTTTGAGGCACGCAGGGTCACAACAGGATGAACGCACCTGTCAACACTCACTAGTCGGAGGTGGGCGTGGTTGACCTACATTTGTAGTCTAGCCCCCATTCATAAATACGTACATTTATTAATATGACTACTAGTGAAAATAAGTACCAAATATTGAAATAACTTAACAGTGAATTCACTGATTGCAAGTGCATAAACTCATGAATTTCGAATGATTAAAATTACAAAATGTTATACATTTTAGATGGACTGTATATTTAATATGTGAAAATTCAGGTGAGGTTTAGCCACCTGCTTGTCACCATGGTTACTTCATTATTGATGATGCCACAGTAGGATGTTCAATTATACAGTAGCAGTTACACAGTATGTTTGTCTTTTTTGATAAAAAAAATATCCCATTTTTAAATTGTGTATGTGTTACTACTGTATATCTTATCTTCAATTTCTGATTAATTAACAACTTCCCTCCTTTACACAAACCTGACCCGTAACTTATATATATTTAATTAACATTGGCTGTGATTACCATAAACTGCAATCATTTTGGGGTCGGAGTGGCACAAGCTTAAAATATTTTTTTCTTATGACCACAAATATACAATTTCATTGTGTTTATTTTCATTTCATTGGATTTTTTCTGAAGAACCAAAGTGACGCAAAAGCAAAATTATGCATGACTAAAAGAATGGCTTGCAAAAGTATTCAGTCCCCTTTTCTCAGAATGCAGCCTTCTGTCTTTAGAGCGAGGCTGCTTTTTTTCCGCAGGGGCAGGGGAGACCGTCAGAGTTTATGGGAAGGTGGGTGGAGCAAAATCCAGGGTAATCTTCAAAGAAAAGCTGCTGGAGTCTGCAAAAGAGTTGAGACTGTTTACTGTTACTTTTTCAGAGCAATTTCCCTAAACATAAAGCCTTTTCATACAAAGGAATGCTTTAAAACAAAACATATTTATGTGGTAGAACAGCCCACTCAAAGTCCAGACCTAAATCCCATCCAGAAACTGTGGCAAAATCTAAAAACTGCTGTTCACAAACTCTCTCCATCTTTTGTGACAGAATTTGAGCTTTTTTGCAAAACAATAATGGGCAAAATTGACCTTGTAATTGTAATTGGACCACAAAATACTGAATCGAGGGGGCTGAATACTTATGAAAACCACACTTTTCCTTCACAATTGTCTGTCATTTTGAGTTGATCTTTCCCATAAAAGGCCAATAATGTATCTTCATGTTTACAAAATGTGGAAATGGCGATCTTCCAGTTCAAACAGTCCATTAAACAGAAGTGGAGACACTGAAAAGCAGTTTTAATCCACACCAAAGCGGTTCCATGGAAACGAGCCTAACAGCTTCTGACTAATAGCAGAGCACACAAAATAATGACATTGTACAGGACCAGTAAAACTAATTGCCACAGAGACAAAACTATATATAGCCGTTTGGAGTGCTAACACCCAAGGAGAAAGGGTGGATCGATTGAATACGCCCACATGGGAAGCACAGATAGGAGATTTAGAAACTCCCTGAAAGCTGTTAAATAAATAAATAAAACCTATACCAAAATCCGTGCTATTAAACACCCACATATAAAACTGAAGCTCACTTTACAATGCCTGAAACAAAACTCGTAAAAGTTCTGGGATTGAAATTGTGTTGTAGATTTGCACGTGTCTAGTTCTTAATGGAGTGTGATTCTGAGTCAGCAGTCGGTGTTGTGGTCAGTGTGTGCATGGTCAGTCAGTGAGGTCAGAGCAGGAGAATGACAGTTCTCTGAAAGATGTCATCCATATTGTTTTATTTTAGATCTCCTACTCCAGCAGACATTACTATGGCAGCTATGAATGCCTGCTGCATTCTGGCTCTGGACCAGCGCTCCAGGATAGAACTAGCAGTGTTTATATAATGAAATGCTCAAAGGTTAGCGGGTCCAGAAGGGCTGTGGAGTAGATAACAATACACCTAAATATATTATTGCTAAAATACTATCTATATTTGGCTCAGTATACAACAAAAGAAGCGGTAACGCTATTATGCATTCTCAAGTTACCATTTCATAAAACGTAATAGCTCATTTAGAATTTGTTGGCAGTGAACTCAGTGTATTTCAAAGAAGAATAAAACATGTGATACATAATCTCCCATGTTATTAATGCTTCTAAATGATTAAAATGTGTTTTTGAGGTTCACAAAACCACAGCATTCTGTTTTACTTATATTTGGTCCAGATTTAGAACATTACTCTCTCCATATTTGAAACTGGGTGAGTTGGTCATGGTAACTCAATAAAATGTATTGATGAGAAGCTCAAGTTCACACTTCTGCAGACTTATTTGGGTTTTGTCTGGGTTTCCCAATATTCTTTCCATTTTCTCTCATCTGGGCACAGACAGCTTTGAGAGCGTGATGGATGCACAATTCATGGTTTGGTAGAAAGTTCAACAGTAGGAGCTATATTTCATACAGTGCATACTTCTGTTTTGCCAGGCGCCTGGCAGCAGTAGACTGTGCCTTTGCCCACCGGTGAGATAAACTACTATTTTTTATTCTTCATGTCTTTCAGATGATGTCATCATACAGGCACCTGAGCTGTGGTTGGCTATGGAGGCTTTGTGTTGTACTGCTGAAGCTCTCTCTGAGTTTGGCTGGACCTCTGCAATCTCTAAACAGGACTGAGTGCACAGCCAAGGGTCCTGCGTCTTACATCCTGGTCTTTACGGGTCACTGGAGTCCACAGGCCTTCCCCAAGCAATATCCATTGTTCCGTCCTCCTGCTCAGTGGTCTAAACTCGTCGGTAAGAGATGACATTTGAAAGCTAATGACAGAAGTGGCTGTACACCAAGTCTACTGACACAATTAAAACATTTTGTTAGCCTCTGTCCAAGCCCTTGAGACTCATTTTAAACTGCACTTAATGACTGATGAGTAAAGCAGCAGTAAGGAGAGGGTAATATAAAAGACAGTCTAAACGCTTACAGATGGGCTGTCTCTACTTGCCGTCATATCTTTGAGATTTCTATGTTACTGCGAATGAGACGGAGCTGCCCACAGGACCGCTAGTTGACCACAGAGCTGGCATATTGCAGTGCAGACAACATTGAGGGGGCTGATGTTCAGTGGGTGATGAGAGTCTGGGTGTGGTGGGGTCAAACCACTTTAACTGCAAAACCAAGAGAAGACACAGACGTCCAAAACCACATGGAATGAAGTGGTAGATGGGAGCTGTTTATAAAGTGTGCATGCTTGTTTGTATTAGTCGAGTCTTTTCAGTCCAAAATGATGCCTTGCCAACGTATGATGGTCTACTTGCTACTTATTTCAGACAGGCACCAGAAATCCTGATGCTTAAATGCCCTTGAGAGCCAGACGTTGGTTTAGCAATGAGATTTTTCACAAGGAAAAAGAAAACACATGACTTTTTGTGATGATAGTAAGCAGGTGTAAGACTGAAGGGAACTACTAGATCAGAGTTCTACTGAAGTCTAAGTTGCTTGGCTAACAGGGCCTCTGACAGTCTATAGTCCTAGAGGACCAATGACTGAGCCTGAGGGTGAGAAGGGAGGACAAACCAGGGCTTAAATGACTTATGAGGGCTTAGAAAGTGACGTGTTCTTGAGTTTTGAGGATTTTACGCTTGTGGGAAATGTGTACGAATGGAAAGTCAATTGGAAGCAGAAGTAGAGCAGAGAGGGAGTACAAGTGTCAGGATCGTTTCTGGCTAACCTTTCCATGCCCTGAAAACCAGCAGACCAGACCAGTGGCCCGCATCAGTCACATCCAGACCCTGCGGTACAAACAGTTTGACCTAGATCTCCATCTAGATTCCAAACAGATTTTATCAATAACCTGAAAAATAATATCAAGATGTGGGAACACAAAGTCTCCAAAAGAAAACAAGTTCACTCATTTACCTCTTTGTAGAGCTTTACTTTGAAATCACAGCCCATCCTCTGTCAGTTTAATTTATGTTGCGACTTTATCAATGAAGAATAAAATATGTAACCTGATTTAATAAGAGAGTAAAGCCAAAATCATACATGAGGCTAATTTCTTCAGGATGACTATGGTGCAATTCAAAGGCTGCCACAGGCATACCTTCAAATGACCTCACCACTGGCCCAGCTCTGTGGTAGGCCCATGCTTCTGACAGTGATATGAGCTCCACAAGCATCTCATGCCTCAGCTTTCCCCTTGTTTTTCTTTGCTCTTTTAGCACTCAGCCATAATCGTCATTTTCAACTGTGGAAGGAGGGAGCTCCTGCCAGCGCGGGAGTGCAGAACTTTGCTGAATTTGGAGTGACTGTGGAGATTATGAAGGGGGCCAAAGAGGCCAGAAAGAGGCGAGCCGTTGGTGCCATGTACCGGACAGCCGGTGTCCCCAATGGCATCGGTCACAGCTCCACAGAACTGCTCATGCTGCCTCGGACACCACTGGTACGCACTCTTTCACTCAAATAGACATTTGTAAGCGCGCACATGCCCAGACTAGACAACCCACAAGTACAATAACTGCAGAGTGGAATCTTTCACATATGCTGGCCTTCCCTCTTAACAATCACACCAGCACAAACCTACAAACCAATCAAACTATGTTTAGTCTCAAAGCAGCACCAACTCCATCCAGTTTTTTCCATCTGTCCCACTAAACTCACAGCTCTGCAGAGGGGCCCTGCAACACATGGTCACAGGTAAGAGCTGAGGTAATGCACTAGTCAAGATGTCTTTGAGTAAACAAAAGCCATATGCAGCACGTCAGGTACATACAAACTGCTTAGCTGTAAACTGATGTTTACTGCTTGTAGTGCGAGGGCAGAATGTGTAGATTATATCCAAGTGAAGATGCGAGTACAAAGCAAACAGGAGCTTTAGATGAATTCAATCTTCTAGAATTCACCTCCATGAATAGTTCTGGTATTGAAAATTGTTTTTTTTTTTGTTACAGGTAAAAAAATAAAATAAAATAAAAACACTTACTTGAAAATAGGAATACACATTGCTCTCATGGTGAGGAGCTTAAGTGCTTGTCATTAAAGTCTGAGATGCCCGTCACTGCATTAATACCATCTGTTTTTAGATCTGCAGAAGGCTCAGAATACAATGCCAGGCTTGTGCAGAACGTGACCGACTTAGTGATGAAAAAGTGTTGACAGTTTAATTTGTTTTAACTTGCACACTAGTATAAAGTTCCAATGCCACTTTTACTTCCACTAAAATAAAAACACACAATCCCAACCATGAATCCTTCTCCTATAGAAACCAGTCCACTGCATTGACTTTGGTGCAGTTGAAAATAGGAGGACGGCTCTCTCTCATCGCGGGCGCAGTTGTGGTCTTATGTATTCATTATTTTTGGCACTAAAGAAAACAGCAGCTGGAGATTCGGTTGTCCTTGCTTTGTGCCTAGAAAGCATCTATTTCATTGGCCTTTGTGGAAGATTGATGGTGATGGACAAAAGTAAGTTGAATGACGCACCAACAACAGCAAGATGTGGTCCATCAAATAAGGATAGGGGAACTACAAGGAAACACATTCTGTCCATTGGAAACGACATAAAAGTAAAACGTCACCACTCACTGTTGTTGCAGCGGCTCCAACTAAAAATTCAGAAGTAGGATTTGTTGGGTCAATACAACAAATAGTTACAAGTTCTTCACCAGGCACGAGAGTGATGCCCATACTTCAGAAACTCACCAGAACATTTGGTTAGTTACACAGAGTCTCACATTGGGGTTTCTAGATTGCTAGTTTTGGCTTTTATTTATTATTTATTTGTTTTTGTATTTATTGATGAACATTCGCAAACAAAAAATACCACAACACTTTTGTTTGATTGAAAGTATTGGTGCTAAAAAAATTACTGACTCTACACCTCAATGTTTAAAATGTATCAAAGACATTATTATTTTTCCAACTAAGGCTGCCTTTACACTGGTCTGGTTCACTTAAACTGGATCGAGTCTGGTTAAATACGTAACTTCAGTGACCGGTCAACAAGATGTTCACTTGTTTTGTGGTCGTGGTTCTTTTTACATCCAAAAATAAAGCATTTTTCTTCAAGACAACCAGAAAAGGTCCAGTCAAAGTGAACCAGCAACGTGCCCCAAATGTCATCTCCGGAGATGGATAAAGAGGGTGATGGTACAAGTATGTTAGTGATTTGCGTCAGCTCAAATGGACGCCGTATGTCAGGGACCTTTCCTGTGGTCTCTTTAGATCCTACATGCTGTACTTTTGAAGTGCGTTCCGATGCTCTTTCATCCCTCAAGTTTCCTAAGCAGGGCCGGGTCAGTGTGAGTTCTTTCCACGATATGCAGACTTTATAGGCCCTTCCCTCCTGTCCTAATCCACTACCCCCTTCACATCAAACATCAGGAGGCACTTGCTTTTCCAGAGCAGTTTTGAGGGTCCATGCCACTGCTGCGTGCACTGACCCCCCAGGCCATTTCCTGCATAAAGTCACCCGTTTTCAGGAAGCATACATCACACAGTAGACACACTCTAATTCTGGAAACTGTGAATTTGCTATCTTCAGCAGAGAAAAAGATTCTTTTGGGTTTCAAAAATTTTCTCAGATGTCAAATGAACAAATAAAAATAATGGCTTACCTTGTCAACCTCCTACACCTGGTAATATGGAATTATGATTGCATTTAGGTGTCACAGTAAGATTATTTTTATGGTTACACAACAATTGTATGATTACATCAGAACTGAGTTCAATAAGTACAAATGTTATGTTTTGATTTAGTATTAATTGATCACCTTTTCTCTGTCTTAGCTGTCCCTGATGGTGAAGGTGATCCCCAGTCCTGACTGGTTTGTTGGTGCAGACAGCCTGGATCTCTGTGATGGGAACCAATGGAAAGAGGAGGTGACCTTAGACCTTCAACCATACGATGCAGGGACAGACAGTGGCTTCACTTTCTCCTCTCCAAACTTTCCCTCAAGTCCGCCTGAAAACATCACACAAGTACGTTCACATTTGTTTATTGAAGAGTTGGTGGTGATTATTTTGAATAAACTATTACTAGTACATCTAGTAATCTCTTTTCATAATCAGACTGCTAAATGGGTCCTGGGTTCGAATCCCGGCCGGACCAGGGCCTTTCTGAGTGGAGTTTGCATGTTCTCCCCATGTCTGCGTAGGTTTCCTCCGGGTTCTCCGGTTTCCCCTACCACTAAAAATATGTACAATAGGTCTGGCATGCGCCTCCTGTTCGGCGACCCCGCTCCCACATCTGTGTGGAGTGAGAGGACAAGTGCCCAAAAAATAACAATTGTAAACCGCTTTGTGACTCTGGTCTGTGAAAGGCGGTATATAAATAAAGCTTACTTACTTACTTACTTAGATGCAAAAGCAGTCTGTGTCACCTTAAATTAGACCAGTGTGGCACAGAACATACTTATAAGCTGTTGTGAAAATTGCCATTTTTTTGTTTTCTATAGTACTGAACTAAAGAGTATTAAACGGTTATTGTATAATAGGTAAATATTGCAGTAGTAATTGTCATTTATACTACTGTTCCATTCCACACTATGTTTTACTCAGGTAAATGTACCTTTGTGAAATGTGTCTATTTTTCCATTCATCTGACACTTACTATATTACATGTATGGGTGACTGCTGCAGTAGTGTAGCCCCACCTGTTGGACAACATGTACAACAAGTGTAACATAGATGACACAGACGGTGGATTCACTTTATCATCTTCAGACTTTCCTTTCACCTGACAACATTGCTAAATAATTAGCAGACAGTTAATGTAGATAACTAGCAGTTATCTGCATAGTTCCCTTTTGTCTATTTGCACAGGCGCCTGTGCATAATTGTAGACAACTCCTCAGTAGACTCTTTTGTCTACTGAAGAGTAGGTGACAATTTTTTAGAAAAAAACTATTGTCATAAATCTATTTTCACAGTCAGACTGCTATATACACAGGCGCCTGTGTCTCCTTAAATTAGGCCAGTGGAGCATGGGACATCATTCATAACTGTCTACACCCAGATGAGCAAGACTCTCTCTTTTATAGAAGTCTATATTTGGTACTTTTTGCAGAATCTCTGTGGGTTGTGACTTTGGTATGACATTGTGTCATATATGCATGATATTAGTTACATTTGTCAATAAGTATCACTAAAAAAACATGAACCAAACATTATTATGGTATTTCTACTTGTAGATCACATCACAAATGCCAAACCACCCTGCAAACTCCTTCTACTATCCTCGGCTGAAGAATCTCCCACCAATGGCAAGCATTAAGCTCACACGACAAAGAAGACAGCCCAACCGCCAGGCCGTCATTTCAAATCATATTCTGCCAAACTCAATCATTCCACAACGCTTCTCATGTAAGTACTAACATACTAGTCTGCAATGTTGGGTTTGACTCTTACTGTAATCAGATTGCATTTAAGTAGCTAAGAGATAATATGGAGCAAAACCTACAGACTGGACTTCTGCTGACATTAACACATCACACACCGAGATCCACAGCAGGTGACCTTGTTGTTCACTGCTATAATAAGGAATGAAAGCACAAATCCGTTTCATGTAGACTATATTAGGAATACAGTAAACCCAGAGTAATGTAACAGTTATTTTCTACTAAGTAGTGTGATTTAATATTGTAATAAATATATAACTAATTACTCATAATTAATATACCCAACACTGATTGTCCGCTAAACTGCGTTTTAAGTTTGTTTTAATATGATTCATTCTGTTTTAGCTACTCCTCTGGACTGTGAAGTGTCCATGTGGTCATCATGGGGTTTGTGTCTGGGACCCTGCTCCAAGGGGGGTGTTCGTCACCGAACCCGCTACATCCTTCTGCCCCCGGCCAACACTGGGGACCCCTGTCCAGAGCTGGAGGAGCAGGCTGAATGTGTACCACACAGCTGTCTAAAACGCCCTTAACCAACACGAGCACAATGCTGTAGCTAAAGACATGTGTTCTGTCCTATGCCACTAATCTCAGAAAATACATAGGGGTTTAATGAAATTTTGACATTCAAAATTCAACTCCAGTCAATCTGCAGGAGAGTTTTGGTGAATAGGATTTATTCAACCACAAATAGACTAACATTTGAGAAAGAAATGCCAATAGAACCAGAACAGTCTGTCACATTTGCCTCTATGTATAAACAATTGTCTTACCACATTCCCACTGGAAAAACAGGCAGGCCTGAACGTCACACCTCTGTGGGTTTCTTACAATAACAGATTTTCATTTATTTTAAAGTTGAAACTTGTCATTGAGCTTTACTGATGGTCCAACACATTAGACACTCACACAAGGGTCTACAAGGTCCCAGGGCATTCTGGACACTTAGTCATTCTGGGGCTAACTCATACTGCATGTTTGGTACATGCACTTCCTTCAAAATTAACACCCTGATTTATTACAAACATTACGCCAACAAACATTAAAGAGTTACTTGAAATGTAAAGGTAATGCAAAGCAGCTGGCCTACTCTTGTAACAAGATACACATTTTATACAAAATAATATTTGAAATAAGGTTCCATTGGTGTTTTGATGAAAAAATGTTGTGTAAATATTGTATATCTTTCCTGTACTGTTCACAATAAAGATGGAGGTGTGTTTTTTTAAAAGTATGATCTCTGCTTCACTTTAGATAATGCAAAGAAGCTTACATCCAATTGATCTGAACCCGAGCGGTGTTCAGTTGTTGGACTTCTGTGCTAGTTACAGTTTTTCCATCACGAACACCATGTTCGAGCACAAGGGTGTCCACCAGTGCACGGGTCACCAGAACACCCTAGGCCGGAGGTCAATGATCGACTTTGTTGTCGTATCCTCTGACCTTCGACCGCGTGTCTCGGACACTCGGGTGAAGAGAGGGGCAGAGCTGTCAACCGATCACCACCTGGGCGTTAGTTGGATCCGCTGGCAGAGGAGGAAGCCGGTGGCAGACCCAAGTGTGTAGTGAGGGGTGTGCAAGCAGCGGAGCAGCAATACTGGACTTTTTTCTCCTAACTTTGAGAATTTCAAATTTGCCCCTATTTAATCATACAAAGTTTGATTGACACCAAACTTGAATCGGTTGTTCAACTCCTGTTATTATTATAGATCCATGCTCCTGGGTCTACGTTTCCTGGACATGAAATGGGACTTATAGCGCCCTCTACAGAGTGAGTCAAAGGTATACATGGGAAGGAAAACATTTCATTATGAAACAAACCAGCCTCAACCGTTTCATAGATGTGGCTCCAAATCGCTCCTCATCATTTAAACACTTGTAGCATGAACATTTCGCCACAGAATTGTGATTGGCTAAACGGTGTTCAAGCAGCGGAGCGACAAAAGTGCACCTTTTTTCCACCAACTTTGAGAATTTCAAAGTGGCTTTACACAAAAGTGAATCAGTTGTTGAACTCTGGGGTCTAGGTCAGCTGAAAGTGAAAAACATGAAAATACAGCATGAGCGTCCCCTACAGAGTGAGCCAAAGTTGCATGCTTTTAATGGGCATAAAGAAATGTATTTTGTCAAAATGTTTGAAATTTTGTATGTATCATGTATGCTATATTGTTCACCGTGTTGCTGTGGCAATGACAAACACTCCCCATTCTGTGTCAATGGGAAAATCAAATAATCTCTCAATTGCTTCACATCATTCCAACACATGTAGCATCAAAAGCATCAAGCTGCAGAATTTTGATGAGTTAAACGCTGTGCAAGCAGCAGAGCAGCAAATTCTGCCAAAATGGACAATTTAAAATTTGCTCCAGTTTACTCATACAAAGTTCGATTAGTACCAAACGTGAATCGGTTGTTCAACCCTTGGATCTAGGTCGGCTGAATGTGAAAAACATTAAATTTCAGCATTTGCGCCCCCTATAGAGTGATTCGCTTCACATAGTGTAAACAAGTGTAGCATCAAAAGGTAGTTTGTGTGCAGCAGTCTAACATTTTGGGGTTATTTTGAGATTCAGGAAAGGACCCATGGTATTCAATGGAGACACACGCTCACTAATCAAATGCATTACATTTTTTTTTTTAAATTAATCTTTATTTTAGACTCAAGATAAAATTGGTCCATACAAAAAATAAAAATTGTGTGTATTGGATACACAGTGTGTATACACTGTGTATTGTAAATAACGTTTACAATACACAGTGTTTCTCCCATTAGGGCTGTATGCAGATGGTGCGACAGCGACCCTCTTCACAGCGTTGTGGCGATGACCAGTACAATGTTGTGCTGTGCCGCCGTGCGGCATTACGTGGTGCAACGTTGCGTGGTGCGGCGTTGCGTGGTGCGGCGTTGCAAGGTTCGACATTGCGCTGTGTGGTAGTTTGCGTGGTATGGCAAGGGCCGTTCGACGCCACTTGCGGATTTAATTTAATATTTGTTTTATATACATGACTTTAAACAAATATATATTGTACCCTGTTATATTCCCTTACTGTTTCTGTTCTGTGCGTTATAGCACACTGGAATTTTCCAACCGTGAAACATAACTTCTCTTATCTCTCCTGTTTGTTGACGTTTATGTTGTTCTTCTGAGTCAATGCTATGGGGTTAGATGGCCACAGACTCATTCTCAGCCTGACCACCAGAGGCCGCTGTTGTCCACACTCTTCTCTGCAGTGCCGCTGTCTACGACGAGGAGTGCGTTTGATTGTTGCAGGGCTCAATGGCGGACGAAGCTGGGTAGTCGTTTAGCACGGAGGAGAAAAACAGCAGAATTCTTTACTCTGGTGACGTGACCGTGTCCGCTGCTGCGTGGGGACTGTTTTATCTGCACTCACCGCAGACGTCCACACGGTGAAACCGCGGCCGATCCTCGGGATTTCACAGAGCGACTTCACACTGCTCATGGTGGCTCAGTGAGGGAGCTAGCTAACAAGCGAACCATGGGGGACTCTCTTCAGCTGATAGGGAAGCGCCTGCTTCTGCGCCTGGAGGACGGGAGGTCGACAAATGGCTCAGAGCCGAAGCAGGCAACAGTGGAGCGGGACTGGCTGCGGGGCACGGTCCGTGCCGTCAGTGTCATGGGTCTGGGATCCACGGAGGCGAGTGGAGACGGGACTACAACCCCCACTGCAGGGCTCACGGTCAGTGTTTACACCAGAGGTTCTTCCTGCACTCAGCACTCAGTCATACACAGTCCCACACAGGGAGATGTGCTCCAGTCAACTTTACTGAGCATCAGGCCTTTCCGCGGCTTATGGAGCCCTGGATGAAAGCTCAGTTTACGTTACTTTTAACGGTAACGTTAGCCTTATCGCGGCCGTTACTGCCACAGAGTAGGCAGGGCTTAAAACTCTGCTCTGGGGCTGCTGTGGCCTTCGCTTTGTTCACACAAACCTGTAAAGGAAACAAACTTGTTTACATTACAATAACCATTTATAGGACACAGTCTTCTTGCCAGTCACAACACTGCGGCCGAGGTTCTCTTTGGGCAGATAGCATCATCAGCTAACGAAACGTTTGCAGCAGCGTTTGGCCTCAAGTTACACTGAGCAGTGTCAGTGTGCAGGCCCTGTGGACTTGTCCTCAAAAAAGTTTACTTTATACATTTTAAATATGCGGGAATTCAGCAAGAACAGAAGCAAGGATGTATCGTGTGGAGTTGTGTCAACATTCAGATTTTCACAGACGAGATTGTCTGAGGAAGCAAAAAGTAATTCTGTATTTGAATTATATTTCAACATCTGAATAAGCACTCATTTGTAATTCTTGCATAAGTACATTTATTCTAAGTTTATACAATTGCGTACACAAATCTGAAAACTGATCAGCAACATTAGGTAAAATAGAATATATAGGGGCTCATTAGGAAGAAATAAAAATCTTTCACTGGTGGAGGCCCATAGATAATACTTTATTCTTTGAATTGCAGGTGTTTGTCGAGTTCGAAAATGCCATGCAGCGCTGGTCATGGGTGAAGGTGTATGGTGACGGGGTGAAGGGTGTGCTGCTGGAGGACTCTGTTGTGTGGGCATCATATCAGAATGGGACTGGAGCAACAGCCTCCACAGCTGTCGTATGGCCAGCTCTTGTAAGTCAGATCAGTCTGCGTTAGGTATTTTATGTGTCCGGGGAAATTGACCAATCCTCTTGTTTTGCAGTCTTTCCGCTCCTTGGTGGACAGAATGGGCTTAGGGTCACTGGTTCCTGTGATATATTTTGAACACAACAATTTGGATTTCCTACCTGATAAAAACTCAATCCAAAAATTTGAGGTATATCAATATATTGTTTTGGATATTTATGATTTGTTAAAAACATTGAAAATACTAAAGGAAAACAAAATTCCATATTAAGAATTATTTAATACAAATTATTACTGCTGTATGGTAATAGATACTGCATTGTTCATACAGCTACACAAATAAAATCAAGTTTTCTTGCAGATTGAGAAGGATATACGACACCCCTTGTTGTTGGAGCACCCTTCACTACATTCTGCCATTTCCAGCTGGTGTAATGATTTTGAGCTGCAGGAAATTTTTAGGAAGGGTAAGTATTGTTGCAGCTTGGCCTTCATAGTTAGGTTTGAATGTGACATGTGTAAATGGCAAATTACTTCTCTAAATATTTCATCCTTCCCCAGGATCTTACACCATCCAAGGACGCAGAGTCCGTGTGTACCAGCCTGAATTTGAAGAGTGCTGGGCTATGGGCCTGGTTTCCCAGCATGACCCTGTTTCGCATATTATGGAGATTACTTTAGACAAGGTATGTACTGCAGCCTTTCTTACTTATGATGACATTATGTGTCCTGAAATCCCTTCTTTTTTAGGGAAAAGAAACTCAGACTGTGGATCCTCGTGTTATACATGTTATGTTAGTTGGAGAGGAGGTAGGCTGCCATCATGTTTGCAAATTCCAACACATTTGTCAGTACTGATTACAACCCTCTATTTAGATTTCCAAAAATGGACGGAAATTCATTGAAACAATGAAGGGTGACACGGGGCGCCGACGGAGGACTGCCTCAGAAACTGATGATGACTTGAACCTCAAGCGCTTCAAAGGAGCTTCAGAGGCACGGAACAGTGGAGTCTCTCAGGAGGGAGTGGTTATGTGGGGCAGTGACTCTGTAGTCAGCAGCACTACTAAAAATGGGGGCTCAGCTGATGGAAATGTACCCAAAGTGTTATCCCCTCATCTTGTAAATATTAAAGAAAATGGACGTCCACATGTATCACATGTGGCTGCAGACTCCACTTCAAACACGGCTCACAATCCAGTGCCACCTCCCCTCAAGCCAGCACCTTCCCCTTTCTCCACCTCCTTTCCTTCACTGGGACAGATGCCGAGTCTGGTCCATGGAGCTCCAGCTCCTAAGGCCTCCCCTTCAGCATTGACAGAGCGAGAAGAGGCGTCTCAGTCTGCGTTCACTAAAAAGGCTCAGCTGGTCTCCCCAGGGCCTGTCACAGTGACCCAGAGTGTCACACAGTCTTCTTCTTGGGGAGCACTGACAGAGGTAAGACAAACACTAACAATCTATGGCTTTTATGATCTATGCTTTGACAATATGGAGATTAATGGGTTATGCACTAGGGCTTTGAGCTTATCACAATCTTCTGGGAGTCAAAGTTTTCAACTACAATATATATTTGTCATTATTTAGGTAGAATTGGTGTCTCTCAGCTCTAGCTGAGAGTGTAATATCTATTGTATTCATAGATTATTAGATGCAATTCATTTATTTATATAAATAACAATGTCCTATAAAATGGGCATTTGAATACAGATCATAGTCAACGAAAGATGGTCTGTCTTTATCAAAACAGAGTAAATTCAAGTGAAAAAACATGTTTAAAAACACAACTCCGAAAGCCTTTGTCATAAATGCACTTCAGTGTGGATGTTCCTGTGACAGGAGTTGAGAATTGGCATTTGCTCTACACTCTGAATGCGTCGCACAAGTTTTACCTTTTGCTCTAACGTGTATGTAAAAGAATACAATGAATACAATGAATACATAAAGATTATTGAACACTGTCCTCATCATAGTTCCTTGTGCAAAGGGTCCCTATATTTTACTACACTGTGGTGTAGCATGGCTTAGAGGTTTTTTCAGCTTCAATGAATGAAAGTTAAATGCCCCAATAATACTGCATTTTTGTTAAGATAAGGTTGAGTATTGGGCATGATTCTAAAACCATTTTATTTTTTATTTTAAGACATTTTGTTGCCTGTTTTCCTACTTGCTGTATTTCATCAAAGAACCGGCAACCCACATGAGGGATTCACTTGATATACTCTGCTTGTGAACTAACATATGAAATATTAACTTCAATATTGTGAATGTATTTTCAATTAAGAATACATCCACATTCAACTTTTGATCAGACTACCAGCCACATATAATTTCTATATGTGCCCTTCTGTCTGTCTACAGTTCTCTTTTTAAAGACCATTCAGTCAGAATTACATTTGAAGATTTTATTACATTTTTGCTTTGGCAAGGTGGTCAGACTCTCCAAGTAATACATAGTAACTAAAAACGACTTACTACTATTACTAGTAAGTGAAAAGGCTTATTAGCAGTAAGTAAGAAGTTCTTACTTAATTCCTCAAGTTTACTTTGACCACTTCTGATAAGTTTCACAGTTGTCTTCTGGGTCACATCATGGTCCATGGCCATATGTTTTCTTAAACACTCAGATAAGGGTGAGATGACAAAGCTTTCTTTCGTGATGACGAAAATGTTCTGTATGTTGAATTCTGTGTTCTGCCTTGATGGAGACCAAACATTCACAGAAAATTTCAATAGATCTGCTTTTCCCAAAACTTTCTATTCTGTGCCTTTTGCTATTAATTCCCAGAAGGATCATAATTTCATGCTATGAATAGAACATAATAATTCTGTTCAGAAGTAAAGGGAATTGTTACAATATGAACATAAGATTTTAACCCTTTGTACGTCTCTTTTCCTAGAATTCAAATGCTCTGGGTTTCCGTGTGCCAGTGCCACAACAAGCTTCAAGTGTCTTTGGAGAGAATAATTCTCAACCGAATGGAGCTGCTCTCACAACCGCGCAAGACTCGTCCAGATCCTTTGGGTTTGGGTTTGGAGCAGCAAAAAATGGAACTCAACCAGATCAAAATCTTTTTATGCAGTGTATGAACTCTGCCTCGGGCTCAAGTCTAATGTCAGGTCCAGCCAAGGACACCAATTACTTTACCACAATCTCTGAGAGCCTTAACAAGGACCCCCCAACGCTTTTCAAACCTGCCAACAATGAACTGAAGAAACCAGAGCAATCTAAAGTGCCTGAGAACCATTCAACTGGGAATGGTGTTCTCAACACTTCTGTAGCCTTTTCAACTGTTCCTGCACTTGGTAGAAACTCTTCTTCTCCTGCAGCTCAAGTCCCTTCAAAGAGAAATGTCAATAGTGGATCTGTGTCACAATCTAGCTTTAACGCTACAGAGAACCACCAGAACATTTTTCTACAGGGCTCAAATGAGTCCCCGAACCCTTTTCTATCTTCATCTTCGCACACAGCATTTGCTGATCTTTCCGGTTCCAACCCTCAAACTTCTTCAGACAACAAACCAAATCTCTTCACTATGACTGAACCCCCTAAAGCCATTGTCACATCCCAGTTTTCTGCCAGTTCATCTTTACCCATTATCCCCTCTACTTCTTCCCCCACACTGTCTCAGAGTGACAATGGGTTCTCAAAGGAGCAGTCCCAGGACATGGCCATCCCTTCGTCCTCGTCAGAAGACCCTGTGCCTGACAGTTCCGGCCCCAGTAGCATGACGGACGAGGCCGTGTCTTTTGAACACAATCAGTCGCAGAAGTTTGAGGAAAGGGGCCAGTCGTCCAAACGAGACTCTGAGTCCAGCGACAACAGTGACTTGTCCGATCTAAGCGAAAATGAGGAGGGTCCAGATAAGGGCAGAGGGCTGGACCAGCCACGGGAGTCTGAAGCGGCGCAGCAGAAGAGCAAAGCAGCTGCTAAAAGCCGACCTCGGAACAAGTCCATCAAAGGTGCTTTTGTGTTTTTATATCGGTCTGTGTGTACAGAAATGAAAAAAACGCTTAAACATGATTTCTTTTAGTGGGCCAGTCCGTGCTTAAAGATCAGAGCAAGGTGCGTCGTCTAAAACAGTCTGGAGAGTCCTTCCTTCAAGATGGGTCCTGTATTAATGTGGCTCCTCATCTGCACAAATGCCGTGAGTGTCGTCTGGAAAGATACCGTAAATATCGCAATGGGGATGAAGAAAGTGATGAAGAAGATGACCCTAATGTGGCCTGTCGTTTTTTTCATTTTCGAAGGTTAATTTTACTTACTATTATAAGCAATTATAATTGATCATAGATTTAAAATATATCTTGTGCATTCAGATTGGCGTTCACTCGTAAAGGTATACTAAGAGTTGAAGGGTTCCTCAGTCCACAACAAAGTGATGCCATGGCTATGGGTCTTTGGTTGCCAAGCCCATCTGTTCAAGAAGGCCTGGACCTGGACACGTCCAAGTACATTTTAGCCAATGTTGGTGACCAGTTCTGTCAGCTGGTCATGTCTGAAAAGGAGGCTGTAATGATGGTTGAACCCCATCGTGAGTACATGGAATTCATATTTGTCTCTATTTTAGGCTCAATAGAGTTTTTTTAAACATGTTTTATATCCTATCCTTAGAAAAAGTAGCTTGGAAACGCGCAGTGAGAGGAATCCGAGAAATGTGTGATGTTTGTGAAACCACTTTGTTCAACATCCACTGGGTTTGCCGGAAGTGCGGTTTTGGAGTCTGTCTGGACTGCTACCGGCTGCGCAGAATCAAACCACAGGAGGGTAGGTGTCAAGGAATCGTACAAGTAAATTTAGACTGTGAAGTCTTCAACATCTTTTAATTGATAACTGGTTTAGCAGAAGAAAACCCGGATGATGAAGTATTTTCTTGGTTAAAGTGTGCCAAAGGCCAGCCTCATGAGCCACAGAATCTCATGCCCACACAGATCATTCCTGGTGCAGGTAATGCACAAGATTTTTAATTGCACTATTTACAACAATTTATAGCTTCCTTCCACCATAGCTTTGTACAACATCGGAGATATGGTCCATTCAGCAAGAGGAAAGTGGGGTATTAAGGCAAACTGTCCTTGTACTAGTCGGCACGCAAAGTCTCAAGTGCGCCCCAGTGCCCCAAACGGCATTACACAGGTATTACTCTTTTTTTTTTTTATTTTGGCAAATGTTCTTGTGTAACAATTCTGATGCTCTTCTGGGATTTTGAATGTGCAGTCTGTAGGACCCACTAGTGCCAGCACTGGACCTGCAGCACTAAAATCAGAAACTGATGTAACAACTATCAAAGCAGAGCCCATATCTGGCTCAACAGAAAGTTCCTCTATAGAGACTGTGAGCAGCTCTATCTCCACCAGTAGCTCTGCCACTCCTCCGGTACATGCCCAGGCCTCCCCTAAAGAGCCTCGTCCAGCAGAGGGCAACAGTTCTGCTCTGCACTGGCTAGCAGACTTGGCTGCACAGAAGTCCAAGGATGACACCAAGGGTGAGTCATAAATATGAATACAAGTTGTGCTTTAGAGGTTTGGAAGACGTTTTCATGAATTCGTTATCTACAGATTCGGGTACATTGCGCTCAATGATGAATCGAGAAAGTCGGCCACCTTTCGGACTGGATTCACTCAGTGCCCTGTCAAAGCCATCTGCATCCAGTCCCAAGCTCTTCAACAGTTTGTTGCTGGGCTCCAGTGCATCACAGTCCAAACCTGAGGGCTCTAGTCTGAGAGACTTGCTTAACTCTGGTCCAGGGAAACTCCAGCAGGGCCCAGGAGACAGTGGAGTGCCCTTCCCCTCTGTCTTTTCTTCAGCAGGTGTATGTATCTTGTGAATATAGAGATATGTTTGATAAATACTCGTACTATTTTTAATGGATACACAATGTGCTTTAATAGAGGTTAAGTGATTTACTTTTTGTGTTGCAGAGTGATAAAATGAAGAGTAGCTTGCCAAACTTTCTGGACCACATTATTGCCTCAGTTGTAGAGACAAAGAAGGCTGAAGGGCGGCGGAGTAGCAGCGCAGAAGGAGGAGAAATTAGTGTTTTAGGCGGACGCAAGGATGGAGTGATAGGACTTAGTGTTTTGGAGCCACACACTTCTCACACATGGCTTTGTGACGGCCGGCTACTTTGCTTACAAGATCCTGGTAATGTGAACAACTGGAAGATCTTCAGAGAGTGCTGGAAACAGGGTCAAGTATGGAACATTTTTGTTTTGTTTTTAGACTATGTTTGTTTAGTTTGTTGTGCTGATTTCTTGATGTTGCCTGTCTTCAGCCTGTGTTGGTTTCTGGAATACACAAACGTCTAAAATCTGAGCTGTGGCGACCAGAGGCCTTTAGTGAGGAGTTTGGGGACCAGGATGTAGACCTGGTCAACTGTAGAAACTGTGCTATAATCTCCGATGTGAAGGTGCGAGACTTTTGGGACGGATTCCAAGTCCTCAGCAGTGAGTATGCGCAGCTAACAACTGCTATATTTATTCAAACTCTTTTGAAGCAAACTATTCTGACTGTCAGGTTCTCCATTTTATCAATGTTCACCAAATATCCTATTCTCTTTTGAAGTCCTTGGTGACCGTTTTTGTTTTGTTACTGCAGAGCGTCTGCAGGATAATGAGGGAAATCCTATGGTGCTGAAACTAAAAGACTGGCCTCCTGGAGAGGACTTCAGAGATATGATGCCAACACGGTAACTTACTGTGCTTCCTATTAATTCCATTCATACAGCGATCAAGATATATTTTTTAAGATGATGAAGTAGTTCAATTTAGTCATTGTATATGTGTTGTTTTGTTCTAGATTCGATGACTTGATGGATAACTTGCCCTTACCCGAATACACAAAAAGAGATGGTCGCCTAAACCTAGCTGCCCGTCTACCCAACTTTTTTGTTCGTCCAGACCTTGGGCCCAAAATGTACAATGCCTATGGTGAGATCCTAACCATTGCATGGGTCCATGTATTATTTTTCTGCCCCCTGGTTTACCTTGCTTGTTTTTTGTTAGGCTTGACCTCAACAGAGGACCGTAAAGTGGGCACAACTAACCTCCATCTGGATGTATCTGATGCTGTTAATGTCATGGTGTATGTGGGAATCCCTCAAGGAGACAAGGAGTCAGAGCAAGGTTAGTTCATTTTTTTGACCAGTATAACTATAACAATGATTTTTGGGATAATGATGAATAGGAAGATAAAAAGTGAACCCAAACAGAAACTTGGGAAATTAGAATATTCTTCAAAAGTTTGTGTATTTCAACTCAAATGAGGAAACAAATGACATCCAAAATTTGGTCTAGACCTACCATCAACTCCCGTTGTTGTCTGCTGTCGTTAACACTTAACTTTGCCTAAAGACCCCGCTGAAAGATCAAGGCTATGCCGTCGCTGACAGTGCAGCCATCCTTCTGTGCACCCACCACCAGCAGGAGGATCAGTGAGGGGGTGGTGCACTGTGAATTGGGTGTAGCTCTGATTGCCACCCCCCCGACCCAGAATTCAAGATTAAGTAGATGAAAATGGATGGATACATCCAAAGTGACATATGTAAAACCTTTTGTTACAATTTTAAAGATTATTGCTTACAGTTAATATTAGAAATTCAAATTTTCTGATTTAGTTTCACATTGTAAATTGAATTACAGAAGTAATGTGTCTTTTTAGCTGTTTTCTAATTAAGTGTCGCCTGTGATAAAACATCCCACATCCTTTCCAGTGATGATCATTATCGAATTTAAAGATCACTTAATGATTAACAACTGTGTGTCTGTTATTTTTATTCATTCTAATCATCATTGGCCCAAAGAGACTCTTCAGGAAGTCTCTGACATTTTACAATGTGGAAACATTTCTCATTCACAGAGGCTGACTTGTCTGGACGTCAAGGTCTGTTTGAACCTTTGCATTGTACCACTTCAGTAGCATGCCCTTCTTCTTGATTAATCCTCTTCTTGCCTGGGAACTTAGTTGGCACTGAGACTCAACTCTGTGTTTATCAGAATAATCAGTGATTTAAAAAACACCCTCATGACTCTGCACTTTTAAGATCTTTATTGTAAACTTGTGGTTGGGCTCAAATTATGTCAGTTCAGGCATGATTTTCATGTAGATGTTCCAAGGGTGGAGTGAATGGCGCTTTTGTTTTGGAGGACTGAAAATTGAAAGGCAAATTTTTTCATGTCTGTGGTGGAGACGGTGATGACTGTGATAGTACTATATGTGAAGGGCAACATGCTTTATGTAAACTAAAACTAGCTGTGAGTTTTCTGTGCAGCAGGCTTCAAAGTCTTCTTGACTTTTATATTGTCAAATGTGATTGTGCTTTGTATTGTAGAATGTATGTCTTAAGTTTTTTAGATGTTTTTATTTTATTTTATTTTTCCCAAAATGTAGTGAGATGTGTGTGTTGGAAACAAGACGCTTAGTGACATCAGCAAGTAATGTGGTGGTTCCTTCATTTTAGAAACAGCACTGTTGAGCCACTAATTAAGAACTAAAAAAAATGTTTTCACTAATAAGAGTTAAGATTTTATATTATGGTGTTAAATTTTTAAGGTTGTCATACTTATTGTAGTTCTTGAATAACCCTTTGGTTCTTCCGTGTGTGTATTTGGCTCGTTGCTCTTCCTGCAGAGGTCATTGCCACCATCGAAGAGGGTGATGTGGATGAGATGACAAAAAGGAGGGTGTACGAGGGGAAGGACAAACCTGGAGCCCTATGGCACATCTACGCGGCTAAAGATGCAGAGAAGATTCGAGAACTGCTCCGCAAGGTCAGAGTTCACATGTTTGAAATCACCGTTTTAAAACCATGGTTTTACTGAGCTTAACTAAAAGGCAAGCACAGACGAAATATGTAATGTTGGGGATTAGGTAATCTTGTGGTTGAGAGTCCAGCAATTTAAAACACCAGTGTGACATTTCCTGTGTCAGTCTACCCCAGGGCGGCTGTGGCTACAACAGTGGCTTACTGTCACTTTGGGTGTGGTGGTGAAAGGCACTGTCTTCATAAATGTGTGCATTTGTTGCTGGTTTAATGTTCTGTGTCTGTTTACTCTTCTGCATTAGCTGTGGTGCTCAATGCGTAGTTTATGATATACCGGTCGCACCGGGGGGCAGGGAAGCTTGCATGGTTTGAGCAAGAGCTACGTGCTCGACTTAGCGTTTTGTATCAATGGAGACACTGCAAAGGTTATTCCTAGTTCTTAGCTGTTTTTCAAATGTACAATGTAGGTAATTTGTGAATTCATTACAATAAGCAAAACCATAAACAACTTAGCGCAACATTTAACACACATTAGCATGTGACAGGAGATTACCTAAATGCGTTTCTTAAACCTTTTTGAAGTTTTGTAAATAAACAGAGCACTTAGCCTCTTTTAAACATATTACTGAATTTGATAAAACTTTTTTCCTCAGGTGGGTGATGAGCAAGGTCAAGAGAACCCATCAGACCATGACCCCATTCATGACCAGAGCTGGTACCTGGACCAAGTTCTCCGGCGCAGACTCCACGAGGAATATGGAGTTCAGGGATGGGCCATTGTGCAGTTCTTAGGAGATGCTGTGTTCATCCCTGCTGGTGCTCCTCACCAGGTGACACAGATCAGTTACCCGTCACATGTGATCTTGTGCATCAAACAGTACTTTAAAGTTCTTTTCTTTTTAAAATGTAGGTCCACAATTTGTACAGCTGTATTAAAGTGGCGGAGGACTTTGTATCTCCTGAACATGTGAGGCACTGTTTCAGACTGACACAGGAGTTCAGGCATCTGTCCACCACGCACACAAACCACGAGGACAAGCTACAGGTTAGTATTACAACGTTTCTTTAATTGTATAATGACACATTGGTCTCTAAACATCTTTAACCTAACTAAGTTTATTAGATAGTCCAAAGATTTAAGTTTGTAAATATTATGGATGTTTTCTTTTTAGGTGAAGAACATCATCTATCATGCAGTGAAGGACGCTGTGGGGACACTAAAATGCCATGAATCTAAATTAAGTCGCCCTTAGGCCCACACACAGAAGCTGTCCCAGGACGACCAACCTCTGCACCGCTCTTATGACACCTCATACTGAAAGTTTCACGACGACACATACAAGCGACATACTACAGAACTAGAATGTAGTTTTTTTTGGTGGGGGGAGGGGGGTGCGCGCTATAAAGAGCATATATAATTGTTTTTTGTCTCCAAGAAGGCACTCCGAAGGTCTACTTTCTTGGATGAAGGCAGTCCTTCATCAACATTAAACTATATGCTCTTACTTGTCTAGTTGTTTGTTTTTTCAATTGTTTTTGTTAACGCTGTATTTAAGGTTGGTGTGTTGTTCTGTAATTGTGTTGGTAAGATGTGAAGGGATGTCAGAACATCGCAAAAACACAGACTGGATAAAGCACGTTCTGGACCAACAAGTTTATTGCCTGCGTAGGGTCAAGGCTAACCCCTTTTGTAGACTTGAGTTTTAAAATGGCTGATTGCTTCTGTCCAATCTGGCCTATATGAGAAACGAAGGGATTCAGACCAAAGTTTTGTATTTTGAGTTTTCTTATTTCACTTTTATACGCCTGAAATAAGTGATCATCCCAAGAATATAAATGGGGCAACATTTATGTAAAGGTTTAGATCAACCGTTTCTTTTCACATAAGATGAACAATATAGACTTTCCACACAAAATACTAAACACAATTTCAGCAGAACTTCTTGCCATTTACATTGTATCAATATATATATTGATCTTAGCGGTCTTTGATTTTTCACAATAAAGTTTACAAAAACAAAATTCTTGTGTTTTTTCCCCCTAAGTGCTGTCTGGAGAATTATCTGGTCTTTGTCAACTGCATGGACTTTGTCAGCTTCTCCTGACTGACAGAGTCCATTCAAAGTATTTTGGTTACTTTGACTTCTAAAGTAGTATGACTAAAACCCCAACAATTACCTATTCCTTGAAGTACTGAACATGATCTAAATGATAGTTGGACCGTTCACTTACAGTTAAAACGGCAATGTGAAAAACCCAATTATTCTTCAGTTTGACGTTTTCGGTTCAGTGAACAGCTTTGGTGTCTGATATAACCATGTGTTATTGAATCACATGCTGGACTGGGAGTGTGTCCTTTCTGATGTAAAAACAAGCTTTTTAAAGACTGGCCCTTTAAGAGTGTCCCAGTCTGCACAGCAGCTCACTGCAGCAGCTCAGTCCATGGTTCATACCTCAGGTCTCCACACTGTAGCACACTGTACCACAGCTGTCTATGGTGCCTGTCCACATCCTACAGCCCGTGTCTTGCAGAGGGATGGGGGGCACATAGCCCGCCAGGAGCGCCTCTCAGAAGCCTTTACTTGAAGCGAGGACGTGTCCCGCTCGCACCGAGGTCAGACAGGATGGTGTCGTGGATGATTTCGAGGATAGTTGTGTGAGTATGTGGTTTATGTGCAGGGCTGTGTTTTGTGTACGGTTTAGCATCTCATTTGTCAGAGGCTGGATGCTGAGCTGGGTAAGCAGCGGCTCTGCTGCCTCTGTCCATAGACCTGTGTCATGAACACTATGTTTTTAATCCATTACTCATCACTTGGTTACGTTATGTAATTGCTAGAACAATGATGATGCATAACGGTGCTGCCCTTGTTAGCATGTGTTGCTAACATATGTTGGCTAGCGGCTAGTAACCACATGACCGTTAAGAACTGCCAGAGAAAGGTCTGAGTGAGCCACTTTATTGTCGACTATTTAAAATGCAAAAGACTCCTTGGATCTCCTCATGGTCCGGTTGATTTGAACCCCACTATACCTTGTTTTTTAACGCTGCACATGTTATCGTCCTGTCTGTTCTCCACACACTGGACCATGCTCCCACAATGTAGTCTCCACACATCAGCCCTCTACCCTCTGCCTGCTGGGCTGCTGGGCTGCTGGGCTGCTGGGCTGCTGTTTCCCTCCGTGCGCTGCGAAGGCCTTTGCGGATGACTCAGTGATGACAGCAGCAACCAATCCTGGCCATTTTCTGTGTATAAGTTCTCCATTGCCCTTCATTCATGTGCATGCTATGTGTATACTCAAAATGCCGCGGTATGTTTTTCTATTCTATTCTATCATATTAGATACAGCATATTAGCTGTTAGTTACATATTGAAAACCACAATATGAACTTCAAAGAGAAAATGCTGTGGTGATTGAGGTCCACTGCCCTGTGGCTTTTGTGAAGACACTACAACTTAAGCTTAAAGGCATGACACACTTGACTTGAGCAGATTAGAGCCATTCAGAAGATTGACTTAAATGCTGAGAAAATGGCTGAGTGTTTCTCATTCTATCAGACGGCTTAATAACAAAATACGATTGGATTGCTGGTAAAAAATAGACCCTAAATCCTGGTTGTGACTGGTGGTGTGTTCATCATCAGGGTTCTGCTGCTGCTCGCTGTCAGCAGTCCCTGGTTGTCCTGTCCCATCAGCACAAATCTGAGTGGCAGCGGATACGACAGAAAACACACCAAAAGAGCAGCTCTGTCCCGTCAGCAACACACGGGACCACACAGGGATGACCTGCTCCATGTTATTCCAAATTATCTGCACTACAGCCTTTCTAGATTGTCTTTTGCTGCCATATTATCATCCGGCCTAAAACCAATGCAAAAAACTAAAACAAAAGTACGCCTTCACTTCGCTTTTGTGTGTGTGTGTTTATTTTTTTTATTGACTTGGGCAATTTCAGTGTCATTCTTAGAGTTTATTGTTGAACTAAACTATCATAACTAAATACTTTTCCAAAACAATTTGGGAATAGACATGGCTAACCTGTTCTCGCACCGTTTGCACACAACTGTCTCACTGCCAAAGGCCTTTTTCTATAAATGGTTTAAACAATGTTCTGTTCCTCTTTTCTCAGACTCTCCTTTGGGACACTGTACCCAGCGTACGCGTCCTACAAAGCTGTGAAAACGAAGAATGTGAAGGAATATGTGAGTATGATCTCTTTCGTGAATGTTTAACTTAATCAGGATCCAAAAAGGTTTGCTTGGTGCTACCCTCGGGACAACATTTTTGGTGGTGGTTGAGTTGTGCAGTGCAGTTAACTAGCTCAGTGTTTCCCAACCTTTGTGTAGCCGTGGCACAACTTTTTGGTTGAAAACACTCCCATGGCACACCACCAGCTGAAACTGATACAAACATGAAACTTTGGAGCTTTTAGTATGAAAGCAAAGTCATTCTAATCAAAGTAGATGTATGTAGAAAATGAAGTGACCTCAAAAAAATCTTACTAATCTTCTCACATGATTTTCTTTTCACATTATTTTGACCAATTACAGTGCCTTGCGAAAGTATTCAGCCCCCTTGAACCTTTCAACATTGCCACATTTCAGGCTTCAAACATAAAGATATAAAAATTAAATTTTTTGTCAAGAAACGAGTGGGACACAATTGTGAAGTGGAACGAAATTTATTGGATAATTTAAACTTTTTTAACAAATAAACTGAAAAGTGGGGCGTGCAATATTATTCGGCCCCCTTGCGCTAATACGTTGTAGCGCCACCTTTTGCTGCAATTACAGCTGCAAGTCGCTTGGGGTATGTCTCTCAGTTTTGCACATTGAGAGACTGGAATTCTTGCCCATTCTTCCTTGCAAAACAGCTCGAGCTCAGTGAGGTTGAATGGAGAGGGTTTGTGAACAGCAGTCTTCAGCTCTTTCCACAGATTCTCGATTGGATTCAGGTCTGGACTTTGACTTGGCCATTCTAAAGCCTGGTTCACACGGCAGGATATTTAGGCCGATTTAGACCCGATTTACCCCTTACGACAATCTTAAGAAACGCTCCGATTTCCGTAACAAAATCTTACAGATTATCCTGCCGTGTGTGGTGTGTTAAGACTGCACTCGTCGCTCGGAAGGACATCGGGACTGCTCCCGATCTCAAATCGGGGATATCCAACATGTTGGATTGTTTTGGACCGATTTCTCTCCGTGTGTGGTGTCCCCCGAGGACAGACGTGCGCGTTGCCATGACTGCGGCGTGTAGCCAATCAGAAGACGAGACGAGGCGGTGAGGAAACTCCTCCATATCACGATGTAGCAAGTATAGTCCATGCTCGTGTTGTCTACACTTCTTTGACCATCGCCTTTTCTTTTGATTACGTATTTTCTCCGATAAAAACAAACTATCGCCAATGCATCCTCTTCGTCCGCCATGTGTGTTTACTCTGAAGTCACGCTTGATCTCGCGAGACCTGAGATTTCCGTCTGATCTGTGAATAGGGGGGGGAATCGGTTCGTGTGTGGTTTGCGTGATTTTTGCCGTGTGGCTGCGCACCACACACTGTACGACCAAAGTGATTAGACCCGTGATTTTTTATCTCCCTGTGTGGGGTCTCACACAGAGAAAAATCGGCCGACAATTTTAAAATCGTCTCGTGTGAACCAGGCTTGACACCTGGATACGTCTATTTGTGAACCATTCCATTGTAGATTTGGCTTTATGTTTTGGATCATTGTCCTGTTGGAAGATAAATCTCCGTCCCAGTCTCAGGTCTTTTGCAGACTCCAACAGGTTTTCTTCCAGAATGGTCCTGTATTTGGCTCCATCCATCTTCCCATCAATTTTAGCCATCGTCCCTGTCCCTGCTGAAGAAAAGCAGGCCCAAACCATGATGTTTGACAGTGGGGATGGTGTGTTCAGGGTGATGAGCTGTGTTGCTTTTACGCCAAACATATCGTTTTGCATTGTGGCCAAAAAGTTCGATTTTGGTTTCATCTGACCAGAGCACCTTCTTCCACATGTTTGGTGTGTCTCCCAGGTGGCTTGTGGCAAACTTTAAACGAGACCTTTTTATGGATATCTTTGAGAAATGGCTTTCTTCTTGCCACTCTTCCATAAAGGCCAGATTTGTGCAGTGCACGACTGATTGTTGTCCTATGGACAGACTCTCCCACCTCAGCTGTAGTTATCTGCAGTTCATCCAGAGTGATCATGGGCCTCTTGAATGCATCTCTGATCAGTCTTCTCCTTGTTTGAGATGAAAGTTTGGAGGGACGGCCGGGTCTTGGTAGATTTGCAGTGGTCTGATACTCCTTCCATTTCAATATAATTGCTTGCACAGTGCTCCTTGAGATGTTTAAAGCTTGGGAAATCTTTTTGTATCCAAATCCGGCTTTAAACTTCTCCACAACAGTATCTCGGACCTGCCTGGTATGTTCTTTTGTCTTCATGGTTCTCTCTGTGCTTTAAACAGAACCCTGAGACTATCAAAGAGCAGGTGCATTTTTACGGAGACATGATTACACACAGGTGCATTCTATTTATCATCATCAGTCATTTAGGACAACATTGGATCATTCAAAGATCCTCACTGAACTTCTGGAGTGAGTTCGCTGCACTGAAAGTAAAGGGGCCGAATAATATTGCACGCCCCACTTTTCAGTTTTGTATTTTTTTTTAAAGTTTAAATTATCCAATAAATTTTGTTCCACTTCACGATTGTTATATATTATGGTTGAAGCCTGAAATGTGGCGAAAGGTTCAAGGGGGCCGAATACTTTTGCAAGGCACTGTATGTGATATTGGAATACTTCCCAAGGCACACCAAACCACATCTCAAGGCACACTAATGTACCACGGGTACACGCACACTGGTTGAAAAACACTGAACTAGCTGACTAGTGCTTTCTATAAAAGGCATTAGAAAATGTCTTTAACATACAAAAAAAGAACTGTCCCAGGAGAGAACTCAAAGGAGTTAAGGCTTAATCCATAACCTGGACTCGGTAGTGCGATCACATTTTAAACATCTCTTTAATTGGCTGTAATTAATTCGTGTCGAGTTACAGACCTGTCGCTGTCCGCTCTTGTGGAAATAGCTTGAGTTTGAATGAACAAAGTTGTGCTGTTCATCAGTTACATTTCACAGGATCAGGTTGACGTGGGGATACCTGAGTTGGCTGAATTATGTTTTGTAAACTTGGGGGAAAATATAGTACAAAGTCAGATTCACACAGGATGAAAAACACAGACGTCCATAAGTATTACAATATACCCCGGGTCCCTTGGTAAAACTAATCCCATGCAAATAGGCCTTCATTTTACACCTTAAGTTGGTATCAGACGACTTGACAGAAAAACCTGTCTTTTGTTTATCATGTTTAGCTTGTTCCGTAATAATCTGGAAAGTGTCAGCCAATTGGAGGAGGGGGTGAGTGCTGGCCTCTCTCATCCTAGCTCGTTCCTATAGCAACGTCCTGCTCTTAAAAGCTACTCAAGCAGAGGAGAGTGAGGGTGCCATTTTTAGCACCTCTGTGTTTATCTCATTGTGACTTCTTCTGTGGCAACTAAAGAAGTACAGCGTGAGTTACTTAGGGCTTTAGAGTTATTTGTTTTCTTTCTATTTTGAAACCACTTTGATTTATAGAAATACAAATAATCAATGCACAATACACTTTGCTATCCAAATCCAATGTAAGCTTTTGGTCTTAAGGAGCATGTTTCCAAAATAAGGACATGAGACCATAGACTATGTAAGGAATACAAATGCTTTTGACTTGGCCTTTATGATAAAATGTTGAAATATAATTTTTCATTTGTAATTGATTTGATGTTGAGGAATCACCAACTTTTTAAAGTCCTCTGAGACGAATGCTGTTGTGATTTAGAGCTGGATAAAAATACAAAAATACTAGGGCTGGGATAAACGATTATTTTTTAAACGATTAATCTAGCGATTATTTTTTTGATGCATCGATTAATCTAACGATTATTTTTTTCGCTTCGATTCGATTTCGATTCGATTCTCGATTATCTCCCCATTAATTGACTAATATTGATGTATACATGTTGATTTAAATATTTTAATGAAAAAAACATGAATTCCTTCACAAAAAATATGTATTGCTTGCTCTTAAAATTAAAAAATAAGACATTCTTAGAGGTAGCATAAAACCTTAAAGCCTTGAAAACACAGCTTACTGAAAAAAGTGCATCTTATCATTCTTGAAACAAACATTTGATGCTTAGCATTCAATAAAAATATGAAAAAGTTCAGCCAAATACTTGTGTAGAGCAACTAAAAGAAAACAGTAACCAATGTAAACTTGAAGGCTTTCAGCTAAACAAAGAGTGCTTTTCCAGCAAAAACAGTGGGAGCCATCAGCCTGTCATGGCTACATAAGAGTGTAGAGTGGCCACAGGACGCGTCATCAGCCTACGTCAGCAGCTGCGGACTGCTATGAAAACATTAGCTTTGTGGTTTCACAGGCGCAGTTGACTGCTTAAACTAAACTTTGCACGAAACTTTGACTCTTAAAACTCACATGTGACAAAACGGAACCATCAACATATCGCCTCAAATTGCATCTTTAACTTTTAAAGAAATTCACGGTCCGCCATCTTGGTTTGCTTCGGCTGCCGTGAGACGCGCATGCGCAGGTTTGCATTACATGATAAACAGCTGAGGCTGTGCATCTCTTCAAGGCAGTGTATCTCAGCGTTACACCGGCTTGCACTTCTCTAACACGGCACTTGCATTGCTACCGCTCGCCGCCATCTTTGTTTTGTGTGTGACGCACCGACGCGCATATTATACGTCGGTGTATTTTTTGCGTCGACGTAACCGGTTACGTCGACGCGTTGTCCCAGCCCTAAAAAATACATTTGTTTTTTTCCATCATGTAAACTGATCACTGTGGTTGTGGTAAACAATATTTTTGACTATCACAACACAATCTTTTAGTTTTGCATTAGCGCTACGCATTTCCCATGGACTCAACTTTCCAAAATGTAAACAGATTTCAATCATCGTCATTTAAGCACTGATTTCTTAATTCTTGTACTGTGCTCCAAACCTAGTTTTCATTGACAGAATTGGTTGTGGACTTGGAGAATTGGAAATGATTGTATTTTGATTATAATAAATAAGTAGTCGGCCCTAACGAAAGCTGTTTCCCAGTAGAAATTAATTCATGGTTTACTACAAATGCACATACTATATTCTCAAGTACACACAACATATTATCATGTGAAAGCATTCTAAGCGCCGACCTCTGCTCTGACTCTGACTGATGTGATGTGACTGTAGCATATGGTGTTTGCCGTGTTTGCACACGCTCAGCTACACGTGCTCTGGACGCTCCGAGTCATAAATGTCCTTTCAGCGTGTTTTGGTCTTCTCACCTCTGTGTTTGTGTCTGCAGGTGAAATGGATGATGTACTGGATAGTGTTTGCATTGTTCACAACTGCAGAGACCATCACAGACATGCTGCTGTCGTGGTGAGTGCTGACAATCTTGTGCTTAACCAACGATTAATAAAGAGTAGCTTATGTAATATCAGTGTGAGTAATAGTCATTGTATTTTTAGATCTCTTTTGTCTGTAGTTTTATTGTTCTCTTGATGTGTGACTGATATTTTAAAGACATTTGTTTTTTACCCTAATCAGAGTTTAAAACTAAAGAACTACTTTGGTAAACCAAACAAAATAAGTCCGGTAAAAATATGTTCTGTATAGACTTTGAAAAGAAAAACTAGCAAGTCAAAACTCTTTCTAAAACAACTGAAAATGCCTTTTTAAATGTATGATGAGGCCAAATATATGCATATTGTACACTCACGATTGTGTGTTCTCCTCTGACTCAAACTTGATCATCAAATATGCTGACGACACCACCATCATCGGTCTCATCAGTGACAATGATGAATCCTCTTATAGAGCAGAGATACAAAATGTGGTTCAGTGGAGTAAAACTAACAACCTCCAGTTGAACGCATCGAAAAAATGTGAACTGGTCTACGACTTCAGTCGCAATAGTTCTCATTTGCCTGTCGTAATCGACAACTCCCAGGTGCAGATCGTAGAGGAGTGCAAGTTTCTGGGTTTAACTCTGTCTAACCTGAAATGGGTTAAAAACACTGACCGAGTCGTTAAGAAAGCTCGTCAGCGTCTCTACTTTCTGCGTAAACTTAGAGAATTTACCACTAACTCTAAGATTCTGCTTAACGTTTATTGCTGCACCATTGAGAGTTTACTTGTTGGTTCTGTGTCTGTGTGGTTTGGAAACATCACAGATAAAGAAAAGAGAGCTTTAAACAAGGTGCTCCGCTCTGCAAAGAGGACCGTGGGCCGTGAGCTTCCTGTTCTGGAGGTTCTTTATAAATTCAGACTTTTAAACAAAGCTCTTAGGATTGTCAATGACTCTTCTGGCCACCCTGGGAAAGCCATGTTCCAGCTTCTTCCCTCTCGCAGAAGATATCGCTCTTTAATGATTTGCACTTGTTTTGAAACTGTTTTAGTCGACCGATTTCACAGTGACATTTGTTTACTGTTTTATTTGTTTTATTTTTGTCTTTTAATGTTGTTTTATGTCTGTATTTGTCTGTGCACACTGGAGACTCTTTGCTAATGTATTCCAATGTGGGTTTTTTTTTTACTGCAAATGGCAAATAAACTGAATCTGAATCATATGAAAACTAGTTATAGGACAAAGTAATTTTGGAAGCAAGGAACTAGTTAGATGGAATTGATTTACATTTTACATTTTATTTTAAATGTTAGGTACTCCAGCTTTAACATTGGTTGCCAGAACAATGCATTCTATGTGACTGATTATGAGTCAACATATACAATAGAAGGAAGTAATGTTGGTTTTTATTGAGTCTGCTAATAAAGAAATTTATCTTTCCTGTTTTGGTTTATGTTTCTAGGTTTCCTTTTTATTTTGAGCTGAAGATAGCTTTTGTCATATGGCTTCTTTCACCGTACACTAAAGGCTCAAGTGTCCTTTACCGCAAGTTTGTCCATCCGACTCTGTCCAATAAGGAGAAGGTACTAACTCAACCAATGACCCACTGATTATTGAAGTGATTCTTTGTCCTAACCACATGTTTGTGTATTCTCCTGGTGCTGTAGGAGATTGATGACTACATTGCACAGGCCAAAGACAGGAGTTATGAGACTATGATGCGGTTTGGAAAAAGGGGACTGAACATAGCTGCTACTGCGGCAGTCACAGCCGCTGCTAAGGTAAGTGTGGTGACTGTGATCTGTCAGCGTTTACTTCAGGCCTTTTAGCAGCTGCAAATGTAACACATATTCCACCAGGCGTGGGGTAATGTGGTTATATAACCGTGGTTACCACTAGTTTAGCGTGTGCACTAACACAAGTTTATTGTCAAAGGTGGAAAATTAGTTTACTCAACATAACCATGGGGTTTCTCAAAAACAATGAAGTTATGTATAAGAAATTTGATTTCACCAACATGTTCTATTCATTGCTGATTCTGATCAATAATCAATAGTCTAGGAGGCTACAAATTGGTCTACTTTTGTATTATTCATAATGTTGACACCAATAGATTTAGTCATTTTTGCATCAACCACTAGGCTGGACTGGAGTAACAATTTGGTTAATAATTGGTCAACCTCTAATATACACCATGTTATTCAGGCTGGCGCTCATGCCTCACAGCAATAAGGTTGCAAGTTTGATTTGGATGCCAAAACTGGCCTTTCTGTGTAGAGTTTGAATGTTTCTCTATATGATTCTTTATGAACAGCGGTGCTTCTAAACTTTTATGCTGTGAGAGAAAACGTGATCATGACCCCACCCCACATAAGAAATGTAAAGGATTCTGTATGTGTTCTCTAACCTTTAATGTACTCCTGATACAAATGTATGTGTTCATTGCAGGATGTATTACTACCCTTGAAAGTGGAATAGTTTGTCTGTCCGCTCAGTACAAATTGTCGACAGAAGTTGAGACAAATAAAGTCGAGATAAATTAAGCCCTTAAAACAAATGGCCAAAACTGTGCAGAATTGTCTTTGATTCAAACTGCTCTTTGACCCACGTTCAGGGCCAGGGCGTCCTGTCTGACAAGCTGCGCAGTTTCAGCATGCAGGACCTGACCCTAATCAATGCAGAGGATGAGATGTTGCTGCACACATCGGAGCGCGGCCGCTCCAGACGGGACACCGTGGACGACATGGGCACAGGGGCCAGCACGCTGCCACGGGCCAGGAGCGCCTCTGCACGCCAGAGTAAGACCACACATGTCCTCCACGCGGCGCCTAATGAGCCACAATAAAAGTCATTTACATAAGTCCATGTAGAGTGAATGCATGTGATTTTCAAATACCACTGGACAGGGGAGCTATGTAAAGATGTCTGCATGGAGGGAGGAAGGAGGAGGGAGGGGAGGAGGAGGGAGCATGTGACCCGAGTGGGAGGGAGGCCTTCTCGGACTGAACAGTGACTGTGCAGTGAGGGAGGCAGCATGACTAAAGTTATGCCAATAATTCAATCAATAGCTCTTAGCCACCACTTTCAAATACATTAGCATGAACATCAGTGTGGTAGGGAACTTTTGTGAGGACTTTTCTTCGATGGCAGATCTGAGATGGGACGATAAGTTGAGTATCGTGGTATCCAGACTGCTCTATTTTTTTTTTTTTTTTAAGAGACTGCTTGGTACAGACCTCTACTGACTTCTATAAATCTAGTTGGTAGTACATCTAGGATGCATGAGGAGGAAATCCGACTGGAGATGATCTCTTCGACAGTTTTATCATCTATAGGTGAAAAGTGAGATAGCTCAAAGTCATGGGCTGTTGGATTGTTAGTTGTGTTGTGTTTTTAATGCCTTGAACCTTGTTATTGAAAGCTTTTGCAAAGTCCTTTCATTTAGATGTGGAAGTTTGTTAATATATTAACAGTTGTAAACAGAACATGCAAAATGTTTCTGCAGCCTTCATTAATTTCAGAGAAACACGTTTCACCCGGTTTAACTCGTACAACTTTATTTATTTTTGTTCCCTTTTTTATGGTTATCCAACAAAATATCACAATAATCCAGCAATACAATAATACATTCCATGAAAAGAAGAACTGGAGTAGAATGAAGGTATCTTGCCCCTGACACTCCCTCCACTCCTGCTTACCCTGTACTGAAGAGGACACGTGTATTCATGTTGAGCCCTCTGCTGTGTGGTGTATTACAAAAGCAGGTTTGTGTGGACATCTGAGAGATATGACCTCCCTCAGATACCCAGCGCCTGCTTACCCTGCACTGAGGACTTTAAATTCTCCTTCTTTTCCCCCCTTTCAATATATAATGTAAGAATATTTGAACAACATTTGAGAATATCACCCTAGATATTGAAACGCACATTTGTTAAAAGGGGTTTTCTAGCAAACGATTGTTTAAAGTCATTATTTCATCTGCTTGTCTCACTATTCACAATAAAAAGGGTTTGCCGTTCCTGCGGTTATAAGGAGTGTTTTGCCTTGTGAACACTGTATTCCTAAAGATTCCTGGTGCTAAGAGTTGCTCCTAGTGGCCAAATTCAGAATTTCCTCTATAAGTGAAGAGTAGATCCTAGTTAAGAAAAAAGCTATTCCTAAAGGAAAAACTCACAAAAACCCAGTGGGAGAAAACTGAGAAACCTCAAGGAGATCCACATTTGAGAGAGGGATCCGCTCCACACGGACGGACGGGCTAAAGATCCAGGACCTAAGCTACAGAACGACCAAGCCCACGTAGCGGGCCACGACTTTAGATTCATGGCCTGTATACACAACATATTGGTGTCTGTTTTGTAGGTAATCTAGTAGATAATCTAGTTTAATACTACACCTCTTATTCCATATTTCTGTAATTTAGATATCAATTTGCCATGATCAAGAGGGTCAAAGGCTTTTTTAAGGTAGATTTAAAAACCTCCAACGGTGTGATTTTTATTTTCCAATTCTGTAGTAAGTCCTCTGTGATCTCCAATAGAGTCCGAGCTGTTGAGCGGCTGCTTCAAAACCCAAACTGACTGATGTATCAAAGAATGTTTTTTGAATGTTTTTTCTAAAATTTTTGAAAATTGAGAAAGCAAAGATATAGGTCTATGATTTGTACTATGCTTATGACACCTGTATTAAAAGACAAATTGATTATATATATTAATGCTCCAATAATGTCATGTATAGTTTCTTTTGACAATATGCATATCTAAGCCATCACTATTGCAAGAATATTTGCTTTTTAATTTAGAGACAATAAAAATGATTTCATTTGCACTAACTTCACCCAAAAATATAGATTGCATGACTCTGTTTTCACCTTTCCAGCTTTTATTTTCATTATTTAGTGGTATCGATTTAGCAAGATATGGGCCAACGTTGAGTTAAATTCATCAGCCATTTTATCACCACTTACCTCAACATTCTGTTCATTCATTAAGTATGACTCCTGACTATTTGTTTTATGCCCATAACATCTCTTAACACTTTCCACATTCCTTTTGATGTTACTTTTTTAAAAATTTTTATTAACAGATTTGTATAGTAATATTTCTCCCCGGTAAATCTTTTTTTTTTCTTTCAAGACTTAAATATTAACCTTGTTATCCAAGGTTTGTTATTATTTCATATTGTGGGTATACAGTAGATACTTTTTTAAGAATAACTCATAAGCGTTATTCACGTCATTTGTGCTATAAACATTGTCCCAGTGTTCTTTTATACTATCATCTCTAAATGTATTTGGTGTTTCCTCAGTTCTTACCCTTTTTCCTATTTTGTTTTTACTTCAGAGAGGTGAGTTACAAATATTGGTAAATTATCAGAAGTATAATTTATCAAAAGTCTAGTAAAGTTTTGTATAATTATTTACAAAAATATATCAATGAATGTGACACAGCTGGAGGTTATACAGCTAGGCCTGGTGATGATAGGATAAAGGCCTCGGCTATAGCTTGAGTCTAGGAAATCAGAGCTACTAGCATGATCAGGGATATTCAAAAGATTTATATTGAAGTCCCCGCAAATTTAGACGCTTTTTGTCTTCATCCTGGCTAATAATTGGTTCAGCTTGTTGTTAAATGCTGTAATGTTAGACCCTGGAGGTGTATAGATACATGTAACAAAACATTTCTGTCTTCATTTCAATCTCAATGGTTAAACATGGAATTGTCATGCATTCAGTTATTTTGCATTTCAGCTCACTACGGACATAAAGAGCAACCCCAACTCTTCTTTTATTGATCCGATTAACATAACAGGCAAAGCTATAATAGTAATTTTATAGGATTCTACAATTCAAGTGAAAGTGAATAAGCAAAAATGAACCAGCTGTTTTTATACTTCTATTCAATTCTGCGTCAGTATAATATTTACATGTAAAATTTGTGTTTGGAATTAAATATGACTCGGCGTCGAGTTCACAGGTCACACTCAGTTGTTCAAATCAGTGTGTACCACAGTGTAAACCATACCTTAACCATTATGTGCCTTTGCTCCCACTGTCCCAGCACTAAGTCCCAATCCGACTGGGATCTGACTTATCTTCGAATCTTTAGACGGACAATGGTGTTCAGAACATTCAAAACACTAGAGGCGACTGAGAATGCATAATGTTCTACTGTCAAACTCTGAGCATCAACAGTGCACCTGTGTTTTGGCTATGTCTGATGGAGGGGGAGATGGTTGTGTATCTACTAGTGCTGTCCAACAATGAATGTTTTGAATCTCATGAATGTCATAGTTTACTCGCAACTAATCGCAAATTTGAATCTAAACTCTATGTCTCTTGAATTATCCTTTTTAATACTCTTATCAACATGGAAAAGTTAATTGGCTTAAAGTGTGCAATTGTTTTTTAGGGTTTTATTTCACACTCGCACGACGCAAAATGTCAAATTCTGTCAATAAAGGGATGAATAGGTTGCATCTTTGCCCCTTAACTACCCTTTCTAGGGGATCAAAAAGGGGTGATACAAAGTGCCAGACAGTTTGTTCTTAGTTGCACTATCCATACGTTCTTATTATAGATCCATGTATCCATAAGTCTTAACACAAATGCGGCAGAGGAGGAGAGTTGGCATCAGTTGTGTTTTCAAAGATGGATGTGTTACGTGATAGCTAGTTCACACCGATAAAACACACAAATAACTTTTGTCTTGTCAGTCAATCCATCTGGCAACTCTTTTAAACTAAACTTTCTATTCAGAAGCTTGTTAACATCAATTTTGGCATTTCGCGCTTGACAAACTAGTCTCTTTCACAGCGAGTAAGCTGCAAGACTGGAGCAAAACACAAACCAAACACTTACAAAGGGGAGAGAGAGAGGGTTCCGGTTTCTGTTTCTGTAATTTTTCTACCACTATTAACAGTCACCCAGCAAAAAAAGTAAAAGTAAATCAAACAAATTAATTAATAATAACACGATTTTTAAAAAATGACAGCGTTAATATTGATTTGTGTTGAAAACGCGATATTTCGGACAGCATTACTATCTAGTACGGCTGCCTTTGCGACGTTCTGGAGGTGCGGAGACTTCTCCTGGTGATGTTTATTTAGTCTCTGGAGGAAATGGTTGTGTGTCTGCTTCTGCAGTTGAGAGCTGGTGTTGAACTCTCCTGGTGGTGGTGAATCTCTGGGGCACACTGACAGAAGCGAGGCAACCACCCCTCCGACCACCACCAACCATTCACACACACCAAACTCATTCTAGGCAATGTGGGTGAAGTGTCTTGCCTAAGGACACAACGGCAGTCTCGCACTTTACAGTCGCAACCGCCCCACTGTGGCATCAGGTGTTCCCAGAGGACACAACTACAGCAAACATCAGTGGGAATCGGTGGAGAAAGTCTTGTGGTGGGCTCGAACCCACCGACGAATATTAGGTAGAGGTCCATTGATAAATGTCACAATGTTAATTTTTTTAGTCTCTTGAAACAGAAGAAAAATCCTCTTTCAGTGTGTCTGTTTCTTCTTTATGAATATCAACAGCCCTTATAAATATAACTCCTCAAAGTGTTGATAAAACACTTAAGACTATTTTTTTACATCAGAGACGATGCAGCTCAAATGGCTTTTTGTGATGATTTTAAGAACTCTTACATTTTTGATTGCAATGTCCCCGAATACAAGACCAGCCTTTACTTTTACCAGTCGAAGGATTAGCTTCGATGTGTCCGCCTTGTCTTTTGAAAATGAAATGACACAATTTACATACATTTTATCATTCCCAATTCTATGTTTGGAGTTTTTCTATATCTTTTTGAAAGGACCAACAGTGGCTTTTTCTTTCTTTTATTTCCTCTTCCAAAGATATTGCTTGTTCCAGTTGTCAGAATCACAATAACTTTGTATATGGGAAGAAATCTAAAAATGATGAAGCTAAGTGTGAGTGAAAGATTAAAGCCGATTAAATGTTCAGCATTAGAGAGAGCAGCTAGAAAAGACTGCACTCTCTAGAAGCTAGACTCCTGTTAAATGCTGATTTAATTGTCCTTGAAGTCGCAGACTCTTCTGTCTTCTCAATACTTACGTTTTCTTGGAAGCTTGTTTTTAAAATAAACATTTTTTTATGTAAACAGAAACTGATGACAGAAATAATGTGAGTTATGTGCAGCCCAGTGCTCGGGGACATGTTCTTAGTTTTTTACAATGGTGTTTTGTGATGTTGTAGCTCGCTCCATGGGCTCCCTTCATGATGATGCATCGTCCCAGCACAGCTCAGACATGTCTGACACTAGGACCGAGCACTCTGACGATGACTTGGGAGAAAGGACCGCAAAGAGAACCAGCACTGCTGTCAGAACAACCAAGAAACCTGCTGCCGCCAAGACGGAGGTAGGACTTTTGTAATGTCACTGAGTACAGGCAAAAGAGTACAAGATGATGAGATACTTTTTGTACAGATTTGAAATGGTATAAATGGAAATGTTCACTAATTTCAAACTGCCAACATGATATTTTAGTTATTAAAACAGTGGTGAACAATCTCATTTACACCATCCTTGGCCTGAATCAGAATACAGCTCTGGTGCCATGTTCACACTGACTCACAACATGTACATACATTGATATTAGTAAATCAAGCTGCCAATGCTCTAGCATCTACCTAAAGTGGAAAATATGAAATATAATGTTGTAGTCATATGAGCAAACCTATGTTGGAAAACTCCAAACTTGGATAAAATTAGATCTTTGGTTTTGTATTATTTGCAGTCTACTTATAAAAGGGGCACTTTTCCCCTATAAATGTAAGATGTTGTTTCCACACGTCACTAATCCCTAACTTTCCCTGTCCCTAATGTCAGACTCAAACAAAAACGGTGAAGAAAACCACAGTAAAGAAGAAGTCGCCGGCTGCCGAGACGCCATGATGCCTGCGCTCTCGAAGCCCACAGCCTTTAGGCCTTCTCCCTGTTCGGCCTCAACAGTCACTTTGCTCACACGCTCATCTCTACTGTACCAAAACTAACACTATGGTCATTAAGCTGATTTCTGTTAGTGATGATTTGCCAATTGTTCTATTAGTGTAATTTTTAACTTATTTTTTTTAACCCAAAGAATAATCTTGGAAACGTTTGTCTTAAGGGGCTTTCCAGGTGATCTGCATGGGGCCCTGCAGCCTCTTTTTTTAAAAACTGTATATACGGTTGCCTCCGTCAGCTGGCAAGTTTATACTTGCTCAAAGCTTCATATCACATAAAACCACAAATAATCACACAATCACCCTGAAAGCTTGCACTACCCGCCACACTTCTAACTTGATATAGGACTGAATCTAGCTCTGATAAGTTTAGATTCCTTTTATTTTCTCACTTGAATATCTTTGTCGGTTTTTGTGCAGAGTGCTTTGTTTTTGTGTTGGTTTTGTTATCCTTCACTTAGACTTTACTCTCGTCCACATGTAACAGTAATGATATTTATTATGAGTTGTGCATACTTGGATTGGTAGTTCAAGGCGTACTATAGTTATTAGTTATTAGTTACTTAGCAGTTTGATGGTTTAATATTTAAGGAATAGTTAAGATTTTTTTGCTAAGTATTCCAATAAGACTACTCCGCTCATTTGCATCCGTTTACAGCAATATAAAGTTACCAGGCGAGGGCTTCAGAAAACTTACTTTGTGCATGGGACTGTGTTCTGCGGTCGCACCGACACGAGCCACTAGTGGGCGACAAACCACATCTCAATTAGTTATCTGTGAATACGATGTAAATAGTTACTGTACATACAACAAATACGAAATGGCTTGCCTTACACAACATTTAATATCATTGAGTTTTGTAATCGGTTGAATATTTTTGACTTCTTGTTTTATAGTAAGTTCTATGTCTATAATCAGATTCCGTTAAGGTTTTTGGCTCCCTAGACATTTTCATCTCAAACCAGAGACTTGATGTTTACTATAAGTGGTCATTGGAGGAGGACCAAATGCTCAAATCAAGTCTAACTATTTTGATCATTTGCACTAAAATTAACTAGCTCACTTAAGACTTGTCTTGCCAAATGTTTTATTTACTATTTATCATTTGTGTGTTTTTAATCTTCATCTCAGTTTATGTCTTGTTGTTTTTGGATTCTGTATAATTGACATTTAAATATTGTTTGTGCCAACATTGAAAATCTTCCATCTGGCTCGTATGTGTGTGCTGGGACAATGATATTAACAATGTCAAGTGGCAGTATTAAAACGACTAATAAATAAGAATGGCCAGTCTCAAGTGTTTGTTTTGCCAACGCAACATCAGCAATGATCCATGAAACAGATTAATTATAAAGCTGTTGAACCACATATCCAAGCTTTATGGAGGAAATAATATTTTGATCTTTTTCAAGCTCTCACTACCACATCTTAACAATTACATTTTTTTTTTTCAATTCTGACAATCTTCTTTCATCTCAACTGCTTCTTGCAAGTTTTCAAAAACGTGCTTATGTATAAAGGGTAATTGTACTTCTCTAAAGGTGATGTCTGCAACATACTATATTCAAATACTTTAGTATTTCATTTTGGTAATACATATTTTTGAAAATGTGACCCTGTGGTATCATTTAAAGTATTTTTTTCATTATAAATTTTTTATTTTTTTATAAATGCCACCATTATTTTCTGGAGGAGTTGATTGGTGAGGGTCTCGGTTGTCTTTCAAGGACCTGACGTTTGCAATCAAAAAACGTCTCTCCATCTTCAAATTTTCAGAAATGGCTGGCCTTCATTTTAAACTGGCTTTGGCTGATAGAAGCCTCCAAAGGGCCGCATCTGGCCCACGGGCCGTGGGTTGGCCCACCACTGATCTATGTTGTAACCCAGCACCAGTATATCTGAAATTAATGATATATATATTGTGTGTCAGTGGATTATAATAGTTTAGGAAGGTTCATCTTGTCTTCTTAGTAGAATAATGTTATTTGGTTCTTGTTTATTCCTCCCACAATAGAGAAATTTCAGTGTTGCATTACTAAAATTTCCCCACTGTGGGACAAATAAAGAATCTCTTAATCTATACTAGACTATTGTAAGATAGCAATGTTATTACCTTATAGTTACTACCTAAGATAATAACATTGCTATCTTACAATTGTTTGGTATAGAAAAAGCGGAATCAAAGTGGATTATAATTATGTACTGTATATTGTGGACATTAACTCGAATTCTAATAGCATTTTTTGCAAGGTTGATCAAAGGCGGTAACGTGTTCAAGTTTTTCTGCGCTTCAACAAAATCATTTAAATAAGATTATGAGTGAACAATACATACAGCAACAGATAATATACATTTTCATTTATTTTATTTTAAAAAGCGGTAGTTATCTAGTTATTTTAACCAAATATGTGTAGATTCATTTGTATTTTGCTTTGAGACCCCGCACCGCTCTTTGAGAAGCACTACACAATTGGGTAAGAATCAGTATTGGAGAACATGGACGAGGAAAACACAATATATACGTACGTTTTGGTGGCCTGATTCAGCTCTGATATACACGTTTTCACCTGATCAAGTTTGCTTATTAAAACTGTAGTAGCGCATCTTCTCCACACGATGGCGCCACCGGCCAGTGTCACATGTCACAGTAAGGTCCGCAAACTTTCCAACATGCTCCATTCCCGTCAGCGGGTGGCAGTCGCGCTCCGTGCCGTGTCGCTCCAAGACTCCAGGTGGAGAAGTCCGCAACATCCACAGGTTTGTACACGTGTAAGAACCATTTAAAACACTGCAAAAAGTTTCAAGGATTTTGATTTTGCGCGCAAGAAGAGCACATGCCAGCAAAGAGCGTCAAAGCTAATGGTCGCTTGGTACCTAGGCGTAAAGAAGGTCACTCGTCCTTCTGCTGCTACCTGTGAGGGACCGTGTGCGACAGCTTATGTAACAGCAGCAGTTAAACAGGGGAGACGTCTGAGCGCACGTGTGTTGGGGGAAATGTGCCATTGTTGGACCCGAGGTGTTGACAGGGGAGGGCATCCGGGCCAGTGTCATGCCCCGCTGAGCTACACGCATGCACACGCACATACACACACCATGGATCTATAGACACACATGCACACACACACAGAGACATAGACGCACACGCAGGCACACACACACACACACACAAAGTTCTCATCACACATGCACACGCACTCAAACGCACACGCAGAGACATAAACGCACACGCAGGCACACACACACACATAAAGTCTTCATCATACACGCACACACACTTACACACAGTCCACATCATAGACACACACAGACATGGACGCACACGCAGGCACACACACACACAAAGTCCTCATCACACGCTCACACACGCACTCAAACGCACACGCAGAGACATAGACGCACACGCAGGCGCACACACACAAAGTCCTCATCATGCACGCACACGAATACACGCACACACGCAGGCACACAAAGTCCTCATCACACACACACGCACACACACGCACACGCAGGCACACACACCTAAAGTCCTCTTCATACACGCACACGAATAAACACACACGCAGACACACAAAATCCTCATCACACACGCACACGCAGAGACATAGACGCACACGCAGGCAGACACACACACGCATCATACACACACACTTACGCACAGTCCACATCATAACACATACACATGGTCCATTCACACACACACACACACACACACTGATGGATGAGATTTTTTTGGTAAATGTTGTTTTAAAGCTGAGGTGCCTAACTTTCAAGAGAAACACAAGACTTTGTTTTAAGTTGGTAAAAGACAACGCACTTTCGAATGGTTTAATGACAGCATTTCTGATTGGTCCACAACATTTTATTTTAACGCAACTCTTTCTGATGGAACAAACAAAATGTGTCTTATCATGAAACAGAAAATTACGTACCAAATCTTTCTCTACCCCAATACTTGAATTAAGATTTCCTCTATCATTTTCTATCTTTATACAATCTGTTTTTGCAGTGACACATCATAGGAGGAGGTAAAAAACACTGAGGACATATTTTTTTCATAATTTATAAGCAATTGTTATGATCTAAATTGATTATTCTTATTTTCACATTCATTTTTAATCGACGTGTTCAGAGTACTTCTGCAGTTCTGACATATTCAAGATTTTGTTTCTTTATTCTAGTTAAGTTTTGAAGTCTACTCATGACATTCTTTGACACATAAATGCACCTGATGGAGGCGAGAAGATACATTTATTTGAGGGACTTCGGGTAAATGTTGAAAATCATTATGTCTCCTTCTCTTGACACGTGTCTGCAAAAGAAAACAACAAAAAACATGCATATTCTCTGCTTTGCTTTCCTATCCCTCCTTCTGCCGCTTTCCTCTCATTCCATCTTCGCTCCTTCCACGTTGATAGAACAGATTGGTGGGTATCCATAGCAACGTTTCCCCGGCGCGTGCGGACGAGCGGCTCCGTGCGCGCGCTCTTGTCCGCGACACAATGCGGTAATTGCCGAAGCTTACCCCTGGGCTAATTAACCGGCTCCCTGGTAATTGGAGGGGTCAAGTGAGAGGTGCGATCGTTGGCCCACCTTCCGATCACAGCCACCTCGACGCTCTCATGGACGCCTCTCTGCTCCTCCTGACGACTTTTCCACTTCACCTTTGCCATACTTTATCCTCTGATGTGACACTACCTTAATAAAGTTTTGTTTCTTTTTTGCTTCAGGAACTAGAGTACGACTGACGCTCTATATTTGCCTCTGCGCTGCCAGCTCCACGTGTTGGGCAGACGGACAGATGGCCACTGACCAGAGGAGAAGCTTTTGACCTTCACAGCCTCCGGTCAGACCTGCTACCATTTCATACACACACACACACACACACACACACACACACACACACACACACACACACACACACACACACACACACACACACACACACACAC